AAACAAAATCATTCTTTTGCTTAATTCATGTATCATGCACATCTGAAATGGGGTTATTTTTGTAGATCCTTTTAGCAGAAAGCTAGTTAAGAGCAGATTTTCTGTTGAGAGAGTGTAACTGGATGCCATTTATCCTGCATGGTCTGTGAAACATACCTGTCTAGCTGTTACTACACACTAGAATACATAGGAAGTGATAGATGTACAAGACCCTTGATTCACCTTTGTCAGCTCAATGGTGAGAGAAAACAGAGTTTCCAGGCGGATGTGCCAAAAAAAACAGCTGTTATCTATATGTACTATGATGACCAAACACATCTCAAGACTACAGTTTTTGCTGTTTACGTCGAACTAAAAAGATTAGAAAAACTAATATATTTAGTTCTTTATAATCAGAATGAAATCACAATAAAAGAACTGCTCTACCTAAGTGACTAATATGTCATGATATGACATCTAAAAAAGTCGATAAAGAACAATTCCTTCATTCATTATGGACTATTTGGAGACAATATTAGCATGGTATGGTGTGGGAAGCACCCATCGATAGATATGTATCGAGAGGATGCATAGAATTACAAAACGCGTCGTGTTAACATCAGTTTTAGGGTAAGTACTCTATTATCGCCCGCTCCTGGATTTTGAGAAATATTTTTTTCCTGATATATTCTTCAATTCTTGTTGATTCCTCGATGTTTCTTGAACTTTGTGAAGCGGGGTGGGCGCTTATTAGAGAGTGGGCGGTAATTACAGAGAATACGGTAAGTTTCACATCAATTACTTTTGTTCACAGTTAACGATCTTTGGAGGGACAATTGACATATTTCTCAAAAGGTCGCAAACCTTCCTGGCAAAGACGGCTTAATTCTCTCAAAATGTATTGATTGTGCCTCCCAGTCCCAACTTTGATGTACATCTCGACAGAACTATTTGTGTGAAAAGTGATCTTCAACAATTCTTAAAATACTGTATGATGTGCATATGGTTCATCTATTGACCATAGGTAGAATACCATTTACCCTTAATTCTTCAATGAGGAAATACAGAGGTTTTACTGGACATTCCTGTTTTAATTGATATCAACAGAAGCTGGTGTTAAGATAAACATATAGATTATCATTGTAACAGGAGCTGCTAATTCTTCTAGTACTCTGAGAGATTTGTGACAGCATTGTGACTAATCAACAGCAGGAAGAAAACTATCAAGAAGATGGAACTTAATGACAAAATAAATGTCAAAATGGGCTTTTGTTTCCATATAATTTCAATGTCATTTTCTGTTCTTTTCAATAATTTGATCTTGTTTCATTACAAAAATAGCTTCATCTTCTCTCTTTGAATAAGAGATCATCCTTTGATCTTGAAGTCTTAACCAAGAGGCCATTAACAGAAACTTCCTTAAGTTAAGAATTCGTAAAGTCCATTGTTCTCTAACTATGACATCATTATATCCATGGTTACAACAATTGATTTACGAATTCATAACTTTACAAAGTAGTTCCAGAATTTTATCCTACTCAGAGATTAATAGATATATGATTAGAATAGTTTCTTTTTCAATTTTCACATAAATTAGAAAATCAAAACTGAAAAAATATTCTGATCTGGATACACATGCTCATAAACACAATGACATGCCATTGTTGACATCACATTCCTAAGATATATAAAAACTTCAGTATTACCAGATGATTTTGTAGTCTATTGCATTGCATATGAATTTCTTGACATAACCTGTTTCTTGTTTGACAATACAAAAGTGCTTGGAGGAAGACTAGAGGGATCACCACAACACAATACCAGCAAATATCAAACACATATGTCAATGTCTACCCTAAGCCTAAATAATTAGGACATGTGATCCTAGACCATACTTGGTTCATATAACTCACATAAACATATTAAGACAGCTGAGATAACTACTTAGTATATGGATGAAGTAGCAAGAAAATTGGGCCACACATCTCCAGTCCTAAACAATCTGGACATCCATATGTCACTCACACAGCAACAATACAATCTTGGGTCCACAGAAGGATGAAACTTACTGCAGTTAGTTTCATCCAAAATGGAAGACAAACTTTGTCTTAAGGACAGCTAGGATGATGCTAGCTGTGACAATAACCTCTTTGCATCCTGAATAGGATAGAGCATAGAATGTGCTATTTCACCGAAATAAACAATTGTTAGCCATTAGTTCAAATACTCTGCTGAAAATAATTCAAGACATAACCTTCCCTAACTTATTTGATCAAAATCAGTGTGTGACCAGTGTGGCAAAGTAAATCACTCTTTCAAAGGGTACAAAAAGCAAAAACCGAAACTGGACACACATATATTTTAGTATGGGAAACATACCAATACCCTGAGGTGTGAATTCATGTTTTACTACTATTATACAGAATCCCTCTTCTGAAGAAACAAAATCAAACTTTAAAAATTGAAAAGGGTATATTAAATATGAAGCCATATATTCCTCCAACATTGTATGCATCATACCGGTATACACATACATGATTGAGCTATCATATTTAGTCCATTATACTACTGAGCATGTCATGAACCATACATGTATTTACAATACCTGTATTCAAGTACACCTTTCCGCAATCAAGTAAAAGTACACCTGTGACATGATATTGACATAATTGGAGAATGTTTGTCACAATCAAATGGCCAATCAAACTGCTAATAGTTTTAGAGCAAAGACAGACAACCGGGTACCTGATTATAGTGAAGAAATAATCTTATTACATTAAATGCCAAACTACAGCAATTAGAAACAAAACCATTTCATGAACACCTGTGGATATTATATTGAACCATGAATTTAATATAAAAATAATGGAGAAATAACAGTCTGAGTTAACTTAATACACCAAGAAGGTACATTATATTTCAATGTTCAATAAATCAAACATTTGGATGTCACTAGCTCTGACCTTATCTGACCTGTGAATTAAATATAAGCACAAAAATACATGGAGTCAAAATTATAAATTCAATACAGGCCACAACAGTGGGAAAAATCATTGTAATAACACTCGTTAAAAGTGGTAAAAACATGTTTCTGGTTTTTCATCTCAGTTATTTTACAAGTGGCTGGTTTTGTAAATATAGATATGTAATAAGGTATGGATGGAAAATGTTTGAAATGAGCATGAAGCATATAGGTGCTGTTTAAATTAAAGCATACTTTTTACAGTAACTGGTATATATCTTAAATGACCATTGACCAACAACTATGAAAATACCAAATATTACAAATATTTGACTTCAGGATGAGAGTCAGTATTAATGTTCTAGATATACTTCCGTTATGTACTCAACTATAAGTATTTCACCATTAGTCTACACAACTGTTTCTGGCAGTCTGACTCAATGCAGAATTTTTTTAAGATGAGCAAAAGCAGTTTGTAACCTTATCTGAACTTGCTGTTCCTTTAGTGGCCTTTATCTGTAGAGTGAGTAAGATAACAAGAGAGATTAGCCTGTACCTTTAGGTTACATAGATCTCCATTTGGGATGCCTTAGTAACATGCATGTATATTCCAAAGTACCAATTTCTTACTACACATGTATAAAAGCAGACTTGCCGAAGATATCTGCCATCTAATACACACTTGAATTATTTTCCAATGGTCTAATTTCAAAATTTGTACATGTATAATATTATAGGCTGTTTAGTGTTTAATGCTATCATTGACGTTAATTTGTAAACATAACGGAACCCCATGATCTAATAAATTAATTGTCTCAGATTATTATCCAATTATCTGCTAATAAGAGCCTGTTTGCCAGACATATCCTATGTGAATCTAGACACAGAAACAGATGGTTCAAATGGCAATCAGTATGGGAGGAGTGATAAGAATATATATCAGGATTAAATAGTTCTGTAATAATCTAAATGATCATCCCATTAACTGATTAGATACATTTTCAGTATCCTAAATTTGATAAAATTCAAGATTTCAATGGAACCTGTTACTTTGATTAGGTCTGATAATATAAACTCAGGACATATCATCATGAACCTATCAGACTCGGAGACACATCTTTTACTTCTTAAACGAAGCCCAAATAACATAGCAGAAAATTGTGATTTTATATAGCCATACAACAACATTATATAAAGAGAAAGAGACTAGTATACTTGAGGAATTAAAGCACATGGATTGCTCTCAAGGGATCAATCAAACTCATTCATGATAACCAAAGTTCCATGAAGACAGATAAACTACCTTGGGAGTCTTACTATGTGAATTCTGGATCTGGGAATAAATGGTGGCTTTGAATCCTATTTTACATGATCTAGGTTGATTGCTCTCAATACCATATAGGCTAATCTACATTTCACGACCGATTCATGAAATGAAGACAGAAAAAGCCTGAAAGGTGGTCAATTCTCTTCTATGGTGGACTAACTAGAATATTTGCAAGCCTGCGAATCTAAAATTGGATTTCAAATAAGCAATTTCGAAGTGTTCAGTTGATTGATCCATGAATTTGGGACCGTATGTGTCTCCCTGGTATTGTCGTTCAGCCTTTTGATCGATTCTTGGGAGAGATTGATCTAAGATTGATCTTTGATATTTGGATATGCCAAATAACATTTGGATTAAATGGATGCATGAAACAGACATATACGAGTAGTACTGAGACAGAAAAAATCTATGAATGGAATTGAAATGTATTTACATAAATACTTGTCAAAGTTCAAAAAGTGCAAGACACTTTCCAAATTCAAATACACTTGGGGACATAAATAAATGACAGGTGGATTTGCTGAAGTGAGGATTTCCCATGTAAAAATAAGAGAATTTACAAGAGGCCATACATCAGTGGATGAGATTATACAAAATGTAAAATATACAAATTTTAAGGGATATATATCTAGACAATATTGGAAATTATGGGCTTTCAGACCACCATAATTAGGAAATGGTGATCGAAAATCGACCTGTCATTTATTTTTGTCCCCAACTGTATGTACTTACACATTTCTTTCTGATGAAGACTCGACCACCGTGTGCTGCGCCAAGGAAAATCCAAAATATGATCCTGAGGGTCCTCTTTTCACTATTGGTAATCTCGGATCCAAGTTAAAAGATAAAATAACAGTAGAAAAACAAAGATTTATTAGGGCTATCGCCCAGCCCTTTTTCACAGCCATGATGAACTGAACAGTCTCGCAATTACCGAAATCTCGCGAGACTTCTAGAGATTTTGCGTATGAATTTCAAACTATTTCATTTGATTTTTTGGGTTTAAAACATGAAAAGACAAGTTTTCCATTAACATGAAATATATTTTCAATATAAATTTCCCTCTAGATGTACAAATATGATATAACAATTCACCACTAATAGGCAGTTAGTTCGTTTTTATTTCTTAGTGGATGTGTAGGAAAAAAGTGTTGTTCGGCTCAAAAAAATTCAGTAAAAATATTTTAAATTTCTCCTTATATCTACAGTTTTGTGATTCATCAAAGACTCATGGTTAGCAGTAAGATGTTGTCTCGTATGCTGAAGGATCACCAGGTGAAACAGCACGCAAGGAAGGAAGTCCAAGGTCAGTCTAGTCATTTTTGATGAAGCTAAAGAAAACAACTGCAACTTGATCATGGAAAATGAGCAAATTTTGTGGTATTCACCATATCTACTTTATACCAGCAGGGTCTTCACTAGAATTTCTCACAACAGGCTAAATAAATGAAAATAACAGGCAAAATTAATGGAAATCATGAATTCGATGCGGAAAAGTTGAAAAGTCCCTAAAAATAACAGGCGATTATGTGAAAACAACCGGTGAAAATCGCCTGTTACCTGCTGTTAATGAAACCCATGACCAGTATGTGATAGGTCCTCTGACGCTGTATGTTACATTGTGAAATTGAGCCAAACAATACAGCATGGACTTTCAATGTGCCATGACGACAGTGAAGACATTATCCTTAGCTAATAAGATCTACCCTGTCAACCCTCATGCATTAGGCGTGATACGCATTTGTTGGAAAAATTGAAATCACACGTCAATTTTGCGATAACGTTAAAATGTCACACAAGTTACGCATTATGTTGATGTTTAAAAAATCTTTTATAAATCGCTGATACGGTTAAAAAAGCGAACGCATTAGGTTCAGACTTTTCACGTGAATTCCGAATATGTCACGCATTTGGTTTGAAATATGTGTTTCTTTCGAAAATTTTTGTACCTACCCTTGATTCAGTAATTCTTTGCAATTTGAGATTGCTGAAACTTTTATGACCTAGAAATGAATTTAGAATCTATTGGGATAAGAAATAGGCCCAGAAATAGGTGTATAACATATGCTACAGTAAAATACCAGCATTTGAAATATAAAAATAGGGCTAAACCAGATTTTCACACTATATTGAAGATGTTTGTGCCATGACTTCCTTTTAACATCATTACCAATACTTGTAATGCATCACCCATCATCTGAATTTAGAGTCTAAAGGATGGTCATGTTTTCATCTAGTGTCTCTCTAACTAAATTTTCATGCTGATATGCTGTAGTACTCTACATGTATGCATATCTACTTGTCAACAATCCTGAATACGATAAAGAATTGGCCCTTTAGGGGTGGTTATCTGTTTTTGATAGTGTAATCCCCTTCTTTATAAGGAAACTCACCCCCTTAGAATTAACACTTTACCTGTAAATATATACCTAACATGTCTTTACTTGAACTACTGTATACCTGTATTTACAATGCACATTCTAAATAAATGTTTTTCTTTCAGAGAAAAGAAGAAAAGAAGCAATAGCTGCAGCCAACACTTTGACACACACGCTTGTAGATCATCTCAATGCTGGGTAGTGTACAAGTTTTATTCTCAACACATTAATCACTAATCAGGCATAAATGTTAATGTCATCTGCCTTAAATAAACAAATTATACTTTATGCGGATTCCTCGACATACTACTGTTGGGATCAAGAATTCATATGTCATCAAGTAGTAGAAAATGAAATTAAAATTAAAATATGCCAATCTTATAAAATCTTATTAAAAACAAGACTTCAATTCAAGTAGATTTTGAAGATCATGAAGTTTTGGAAGTTTGTAACAAAGTTTCTATTGACCATTATTATTTAATTATGTTATTACATGGAAATTGAAATGTTTGTGGTACATTTATTCCAGGGTGGCACAGGCATATGTGAACCAGAAGAAGCTTGACACAGAGACAAAAATATTACAAGCAAATGCAGCTCATTTTGAAAAACAGACTTTACAATGGTTGAAACTTGTAGAGGACTTCAATACATCATTAAAGGTAAGACAGGAAGGAGTAACACATCAAATAAGTCTGTTCACCCCCTTAATTTTTTTGATTAAGAAACAACATTGGATTAGTATATATCATCTTAAAGGGAAATTAACTTGTTGATCACACACCAAAATTCAGAGTGATTGGTTAAATTAAAAAAAAATAAGAGCACCTTTAGTGATGTCCATATTTCACTTTTTCAATGGTCCATGTGTTTCCCCCCAGCAGGCTGGACAGCCTCAATTCTATGAACATACGATTCCAAAATGCTCACAAACAGTTGTGTTGCACTTTCAAGGCTCCTAAGAGCTTTCTTTATACACCTGAGCAATGTTTCATGACGTTTATCCTCTGGTTGATTTTTTCAATCCTTTTCTTCATAATTGCAGTATCAACTTTTCACCTTTTATTAACTATACTGGTAATTTTACTTAGTTTTGACGTAATCAAAGGTCAACTACAATCTTACAATAGAAATTGCAATTTTATTAGGTAGAATTTATAATTGATTATTTGAGGGTGATCAGCATTTTCCATACGCTTTAAAATGATATATGGGAAATTATGATAACTTTAAAAATAATAAAAAAAAGGGGAAGAACAGACCTATCTGTATAGTCTTGCATCGGGTCCTTGTGACTCACCTCTCTGAAATACCTGGCCTGTATTCTCCAGGGCAAGTAGATGGGGTGGGGGGGGGGTAGTTCCAGACTTATGAAAGATTAATTATTCCATCATACATGTACTCTTTTTTTAAAGTATCAATTTGTATTCTTAACTTATAAGAGGGTTGTAATCATGCATTTTGATTATTGCAATATTTTTGCAATTCACATTTTGCTTTAGTGTTGAAGAAAACAGTACTGCAAAGATATTAATTATTAACATAGTTTTTTGTATCATCCTCATCTCCCTTTTTGCCCTCATGGAACCAATGACTTGACACCTTAATCTCATTCTTAGCCAGACACTCCCAGTTCTTTTATGCCACAATGGACAAAATGCTGTTCCTAATTGTATTGAATATATAATATGTACTTAAGCTAAGGCCTATAATGCCACTAGGCGATTGGCAAGCCATTCGATGTAAAGTTGAATATCATGAAATAAATAGTTTATATAAAAAAAAACATGTTATGGTTACTTGAACACATAAAATGCTCTGACCCCTGAACAAATGAAAGAACTATCAAAACATATTCATTTATTTTATGTTTTTAGGAGATAGGTGATGTTGAGAACTGGGCCAGGAGCATAGAGACAGACATGAGAACCATCTCAAGTGCACTAGAATATGCTTATAAAGAAGGTAGATAACACTGCACTACATTATCCTTGTCAAGAGAAATAACTTTAAAAAGGTGCTAAAGGTCATTGAAATATAACAATTTCATTTAGTTCACTGATATTTAACATGAAATAAGTTTTGAAGAAACTCTTAATTATATCTTGATAAGTGATATAAACTTCATAATAGAGAGATTTCGCACATAAGTGAAAGTACAACTTATACGTATACGTATAGTTTAAAGGGTCATGTCGAACTATTATATTCACTGAAATCAATTTTAAATTGTACTTAATGGAACATAACTATTCCCGATATAGAAAAGCTCCATCAACTAGAGACTGTGAATGCACTGTCATCTGCACGTGTAGATTATGCACATTATAATTAAATGCTTGCTTCTGTGTCCTAGTAGTTGTAGTGTATTATAAACACGATCCTTTAAAGTGAGTCATGATCCTTTAAAGCGAGGCATTACATAAACAAGTTGATTATTTCAAAGTTTTCATGATCAGTATAAGTTCAATGAACTTACAAAACGGTAAAAATACGTAGATGATAAACGTATACAGTTGGATCTCCTTATAAAACTTTACTTACATGTGTGTGGAACAATTGACCGCAAGGATTTTTGAAATTAATTGGCTGAGTAGGAACAGTATCCAATCAAATACTTTGACCATCAATTTGAAACACCAATCAAACCAGTAGGTTCTAGCAATTCCTGGAAACGATCCATTCAGTAGCTCAACAAATGACATACAGGGTGTTTCATAACGAGCATCTCCAAAAAGTCAATTTGAGAAGAGATAGGTCTATAACATATGTACTATATATGAGCCTATTTTATTCTAGACAAACACATTTGGATCAACTAAACATGCTACAATTCAAGAAAGTACAAATGGCATCCCTTTGACCTTTATTTATTACAGTCCGAGAAGATCTTTCCTGACGAAAAGCCCACATTATGAAACACCTTGTACGTTTACCTATAAGTATAAGTATACGTTATAAGTTGTACTTTCACGCCATGCGAAATCTCTCTAATAGGTATACTTTTTTTAATTAGTAGGCTTACTGTATTGTGTACTGCAGGGTTGTTAAGGATGACTTTATGCATATATTATTTTGATATTATAAATGTTGTTTGTTCCAGAGCAACAAGAAACTTAACTCTTAAATGCTGATGAAGGAAGGACATTTACTCAGAGGACATTGAATTTTAGAAACAGTAAATTGGTTATCAACAGCAAATTTACAAAAGAAAAAAAATCACATATTTACTATCTACATTCTATCCAATCATGAATACCACCCAAAGTGCACAACTGGCCCTCGGTTGCTAATGAGATTCTTGGGGCTGTGTAACAGAAATTTAGAGTCAATTACAATTTGTTGAAATAGGCCTTCGTGGCCTTATCATAATCATTCAATAAAACTGACCATATGGAACAGGTTTCAAAACTACATTAATAGAGTACAAGGTAGACTAAAGATCTGGGAAATAGGTAAAAGAATGTTATGGTCGGTTGAGTCAGTCGTAATAATCAAAGAAAAATGTCCCGTGATGTTCAGGTGACATTTAATTTTGTATTAAATTATTACAAGGAATATTGAATACATGTAGTTTCGACTCTTAATCCTGAGTTGGACATTTTGTCACTATGCAATCTTGTATATCTAAATTAAGATGTCGGTTTAATGTGGAAATAGTGCAATATCATTTCATTGTGTAAAATTGTAAATATTAACTATACATGTACTGTTATACAGTGTTATTAATGTACTCTACAATTAGTTACGAGTATTAAAAAATAAAGAATATTTTATTATTTGTAGATACTGTGTTATTGTTTTATGAGTTGTGCCACCAACCAAATGTATCGATACTGTATTTGTCTTTAATTTGGCGCTCCTTAATTTAGCGATTCTGGAATATCAAACATATTGGGAGTCTTTAGTTTGGCCGTTTTCAAGGGGATAATAACATGGTAATAGTCTCTAAGGTGAGCTTGGAATTGCAATGCTTAGACCCAGAATCAGAATGTCAAGGTTGAAAATCTGGAAAAGTTATTCTTTGAAATATTCTTCCCTTGTGTTTTTTTGTTTCGTTGCGGAACGGCATAAATGAGCCCACGATGAAAGACGTCAAATTACCAGGGATTTTGGTGAGTATTTAATCTGCCACATTCACCAGATTAAAATGCTGACCAAATTGGAGAGAGAGTAGATCATCGATAGACCTCTGCTTTTCCATTATTTCACAAGTACATGTAAGAGATTGCAAATAAATTTGATTTAAGTCTTACACTTTATTTACTTGGGGAAAGGGTATATACTACAGTATGCCTACAAACCTAATTACATTTAGGGAAGAGTGTATGCGTCCTTTTAATCACGTTTAAGTGTAAATATTCTATTTATCACCCATTTGATTTCTCAGTCAGAAGTTCAATCTTTTTCTTGTATATTCTGTCATTTCTCAATGTTTTGATGAACTGCATGTATTATTTCATCACAATACAATTACTATTTTGCAGGCGTTGTGAATGTGAATTAGGCAAATTTAAATGGATATATAACGTAATGTTTGGATTATATTTTAGCTTTACAGAATAAGAATATTCATAGATTTTGAAAAGGATGTCTTTGTAATGACTTCAGCTTGTACTCTTTATTTCCCATCTGTACAATTGATGGATCTGATCAGTATACATAGTGAATTAGGGGGCCAAAAAATTCAGCTTATGAAATGCTTATTATTGATTTACATAGTAAAAATTCCTAGATCTTTTGCACCACCCAGGTCAAAAATAATTTCAACATCATAAATGAATTTTTGAACAGTAAACCCCCGTTGGCAATGCTGGCTACAGGCATGAGCCATATATATCACCAGTAGTCGATAAAATAACATGTATTTTTATTACAGAGCACTGAATCTGCATGACCTTTCAGGTATCAAGATGAAATTTTGAGAATGATGCGTTTGAAAGGAACTCAGAAGACTTGCTTATTTTGAAATAATGGCAAAGAAAGTGAACCATATTTCAAACCTAACCTTACATTTTAAAATGCCTTTTCTCATTGCCATGAACATCGGTGTTCTTCTTTCAACACATTATTTTGTTACACAAGATGCATCGAGAGGTTCCATCACTAAAGTAATTCCAAATTTAAGGGTTGCATTACATACATATGTACATATGTACACCTTGTGTATTTTCTTTTTCAAGCACACATTATACAATTTATACAAAGAAATTGTTATCTTATAAAAAAGTTATATTTATTCATAAAAATTCAGATTGCAAGGTAAATGTAATTTAATGTAAATGAATTTCATTTTAATCATTAAAATCCTTCAAGTTGTAACTCCAGATCTTGTATCTCATCGACAACTTCTTCTCGTCTCGCCACTTTCTCAAGTTGATCCTTCTCTGGGTTGGCCAACTCCCCAGATTCAATCTTAACTTTTAATTCATCAATTTTCCTCAACTTTTTCTTTAAATTCTTAATCTTTTTGTCAATATCAGTTGAGACAACAGGAATATCTGTCTGTGTTTTGACATTGTCAGCAGTTTTGTTTTTACTATCATTTATTGTAGATTGTTTTAAATCTGAAGTTATTTGGTCCATATTTGTAGTTTCTTTCTTTTTGTTTTCCTTGCGTCTTAAATTTTTCTTAGCAGATTTCGATAATCCTGGGATTAGGATACCTGCTGTGTCTGATTTACTTATATGTGGTGCATCAGATGCCAAACCAGGGCATGCTGGGATACTCTTAGCCCATTGGTGTCCCTTAGATTCATACCTGGAATGTAAAGTTGAAATTTGAAGCATGTGATATCAAACAGAATATGTAATCTTTATAGACTTTTTTCTAGATTGAGAAGTTTAACATTGCAGCAATACTGGGCCAATTAATCAGGCGAAAAATTTATTGATTTTAGATTCATCAATATTTTTAAATTGATTGATATTTTTCAACCGAAGATAATTTAGAAGCATTTAAAATTGCATCCACAGCTAAATTGAAATAACTGAAATCTGTATATATCTTCTTCTTCGCGGCGTCACAGAAAACACTTCCGGTTTAATAATCAAGGATTTTATCGATCAGAAAATATTTTTTTATGAATTTGTCCAATATCTGCTTAAATATGGTACAGTATATGTATATTTGTGATTCTTAAATTACAAAATAGGTAGGGTAAAGAATGAGTCAAAGTCGTTTGATCTCGTCCCAGAAGCAATATTTTGTCATTTCTGTCCCCTTGGAATTCCTTTAAAAGCAAATATCCCAAATCTCAATAAAATCAAGATTAAACAAAAATAAAGAACAAAAACTATGAACTCTGCTCTATTCTCAAATACTTACGCAGCAACTTCATCTGGGGGAATATATCCATCTTTCACTTTCTTTGGTTTGCGCCATGTTCCATCAGGCCTTTGGGTAGCAGGAAGGTAAAGTTCACCTAAAACATAACAGACTTGCATGTAGGCTATGGTTGGCTCGATAAGTTCAGAGGTGTATCCATGGGCTCTTTAGGGAGCCTTTCTCTGTTTTTTTTATATTAGGGACAGACACATCAGACAGTTTCAAAATTCTCGGTTCTGTTCAGTTTTTGAATCCCTCGGTTCAGTTTTCGGTTCAGTCATTTGGCTGTTTGGTTCTTATCACACTTACTACATTCTGCAATGATCATAAAAAAATTAGTGTGAAACAAAATTAGCCTCTGAAATGTATGATTACTGTGTATTCAATCGCATGTTATAGGCTACATCTTGAAATTTCATGAATGTAATTCTAAAAACTTAACTTTCTGTTGAAATAATATGTATGTTTCAGCTGAATTTGACACTAATTGTATGCTAATATATTTTTCTTGATCTACATTTTTTTTAGAGAATGTGCATTTATGAACAGTAATTTCCCCCCAATTAAATGTCTGTTAAAAAACAGAAGCAAATGATTTCTAAACTTAACAAAGCATCTAGGCCAATGATGGTCTCAGCTCTGTCTGACCCCAAGTTCATAGCGCAAATTATAGTACAGTAAACATGTATTATGGACTCCGGTTTACTCTGCCCTCTCTGCACCATAGCCTTTATCCTATAGTTTTGCCAATTTTTGAAAATTGGCTGATTATGTCAGACTTTGGGTTAGCCCAACAACATTAGACCTAGCCTGGGGACTCGTTTTGAGACCCTATCTGTTGCAAGACTTATGCCTGGCACAATCATCACCATGTTATTAAGTGTTTTTAAGTTTCACAAGGATCCTGCCATGACCGTGGTAGTGTTATCATGATAGCCTGGTATAACCGTGACAATGCTATATTATATTGCATGGCCTGTCATGACCGTGGTAATGTTAAAGCCTGATATGACCGTGACAATGGTTGCAAGGCCTGCCATGATCGTGGTAATGTTAAAGCCCGATATGATCGTGACAATGGTTGCAAGGCCTGGCATGACTGTGGTAATGTTAAAGCACAATATGACCATGACAATGGTTAAATTAAGTGACATTTAGTAGCATGAGGATACTGTAACGAAAAATTTCATCGTTTATCTACCTTAAATATGTAAATCTAGACTACTACTACATGAACATGTACTACTACTTTAACTCATAATTCATTTCCACAAACTATAATTCTAATCTCATTCAAGAACATGAACATTGTCACGGTCATATCAGACTTTAACATTACCACAGTCATGACAGGCCTTACAACCATTGCCACAGTCATATAAGGCTTTAACATTACCACGGTCATGACAGGCCTTGCAATATAATATAGCATTGTCACGGTCATATCAGGCTTTAACATTACCACGGTAATGACAGGCCTTGCAATATAATATAGCATTGTCACGGTTATACCAGGCTTTCACGATAACAATACCACGGTCATGGCAGGATCCTTGCGAAACTTAAAAGCACTTAATAACATGGTGACGGTTGTGCCAGGCATAAGTCTTGCAATAGATAGCATGTGCTTGTTTTTTATCTGACATGTCTTATGGAACGGCCAAGATAATTCCCAATAGTAAAGAAAGCCATTATTGAGTTTAACGACGTTGAATAACTTCGGGTCAGACTGAGGATGTGAGGTACAGTTGGGAACAAAAATAAATGACAGGTCGATTTTCGATCACCATTTCCTAATCATGGTTGTCTCAGTGAAAGCCCATAATTTCCAATATTGTCTAAGTACATATCCTTGTATATTTTACATTTTGTATAATCTCATCCACTGATGTATGGCCTCTTAAAAATTCTCTTATTTTTAACATGGGAAATCCTCACTTCAGCAAATCCACCGAGACCCTATCTGTTGCAAGACTAACGCCTGGTGTAACCGTCGCCATGTTATTCAGTGTTTTTAAGTAGCGCAAGGATCCTGTCATGACCGTGGCAATGTTATCGTGAAAGCCTGGTATAACCGCGACAATGCTGTATTATATTGCAATGCCTGCCATGACCGTGACAATGTAATATAGTTCTGCAAGGCTTGGCATGACCGTGACAATGTAATATAGTACTGCAAGGCCTGGCATGACCGTGACAATGTAATATACTGTAGTACTGCAAGGCCTGGCATGACAGTGACAATGTTATATAATTATGCAAGGCCTGACATGACCGAGACAATGTAATATAGTATTGCAAGTTCGCGTATGAGAGTGGTAATGTAGAAATATATGATTGCTATAAGTGACCGTGACAATGTGTATTTCAAAACCTGGCATGAATGTTACGATGTATAATGGGATCACAAAGCCTGGTATGACCATGACAATGTAATACAGTATTGCAAGGCCAGGTATGATGGTGGTAATGTAGAAATTTAGGCTTAGTCCTACTATGACCGTTATAATGTATTGCAATGATTAGTAAATATGTATGACATTAATGCCAGGAATATCCTTAACAATTTTAAGTGATCGTCATCATCCTTGCTGCAAGGGTATTTTACAAGTATATACCCTTGCTTCTCTCTATTCAATTGTTGGGCTTGAGCAAACAAACTGGACATTTAAACAATATTAGCCTACACCACATACCCTAAGAGAACTACTACACACAGTGTACGAGGGTAATTAAAATCCTGTTGAACGGTCCACAAAGCTGTCTTTATGCTATAGCAGTATGCCCTTACATATCTTATGACTTAGAAATTTGTAATCTATAACAAAAAATCATAGGATTTAAACAAATATTAGCTTAAGAATAAGACATCATCCGTAGAACATTCTATAGTATGTCCAAAATTAAAATGTTTAACCATTTTACGAAAAAGAAAAAGAATACTGCAGAAATAAGGTGGTTTGAAGAGACACAAATGGTAAGATTATTCATAAGTTCCAGGAAATGAGACATGTAATTGGACAATTCGCACAACGCATCTTCTGCGTTGACCACTAGGAAACTCAGCTTACATGAGGCCCCTAGAATGAAACTACCTGGGCTTGAGTGAAGGGCTGAATTAAGCATAAATGAAGTCCTTTGAAGAAGGATGGATCGTCATTACAATTAAACAGTTTAATACTAACTACCTTAATCATGTCAAAATCAAAACTACTATACATTAATATTCACATTCGCTTATAAACCACAATAAAGGCCACGGTCACGCCAGGCTTCCACGATAACACTTCCAGGGTCATGACAGGCCTTGCAATATCATACAGCATTGTCACGGTTATACCAGCCTGCCACGGTTATACCAGGCTTACACGATAACACTACCACGGTCATGGCAGGATCCTTGCGCTACTTAAAAAACACTGATTAACATGGCGGCGGTTGTGGCAGGCGTAAGTCTTGCAATAGATAGCATGTGAATCCACCTGTCAAGTGTCATTTATTTATGTTCCAAAGTACCTGTGTCAATTGACTGATTCTGCAAAACCTTGAGGAATATAAGCTAATATTGTGCTATTCTGGCTATTATACTCTGCTCTTGCAGGTTGAGCCACCGATAGATCAGGTGTTGATACAGGTACCTGTGAAACTGTCAGGCACAGACTGTGAAATTATGTGAAGTGTCCAGAACACACAAAAGTTTTGAGAGAATGGTTCATTCAATGTTTTTACATCAAGCAGATATCTTTTGAATACCAAACTTTGGCTACAATAAATGTAAATGTATTGGAATAACATGGGTTCAATGATGACGGTAAAATCGCGTCTATTATCTTACCATCCTCTCCTCTAATCACTCCACTTCTCACTGGAGCATTTGCCATCTTTGTGAAACTGTGACACACCCCATATATATTTTGACATGCTTATTTCAAAGCCCCATATTATAAAATATTTAATTTTTCTTATCAAATAAACACCATTCAAATAGACAATAACCAAACCAATATGTTTCTAATGGTCATTTTATCGATTCAACAGTAAAATATGAGACATTTGGAATCTTCCAATAGCTTTTGTGGGGTTCGTCAATGTGACCTTGAACTTGGTCTGTTCAAGATATTTTTTTACATTTTGAAAAGTTATGCAAGTTTGGGTAATTATTCACAGTATTATTCTTTTTATACCAATATACTAGATGCGAGTAGAAATAATCTTGATTTGCGTCATTAAATATTCAAATTTTAGTCAAAGTGATGTCATATTTGAAATCTACATGTAAAAGTACATCTAGAAATATGGTTTCGAAAATTGTTTATCAACTTTGAAAATTTAATTTTTTTTGAAAATGTGACTTCTAGTTCGGGTTGATTCCCCATAGACCCCATGTTACAGAATCACAAAAAGTGAAATATCTTTTCTTGTATTGGACAGATAACATTTTCTTTTACTGGACATATTTTAATTTACATAACAATTAGATACATAAGGGTTATATGAAAATTGAACCACTAAAACAGATGTAATTTAAGTTAAAGGGAACATTCTACTATACCCGCCATGCTATCTGACCCGAACGGGCCACCTGGGGGTGAAACTGGTAACTACTTACTCGTATCTGCGTTATTAAATAGATAAAATCTCTTGTTGTTCTAGTTCTTATTGGTATGGTATTGTTCAAACACACGGAGTATCCAGTGTAGCTCAGATTTGAGAATTCTAGGCTAGTCTACATTGAAAATTCAGTTTATTTATTTAGCCTATTCAAATTGTTTCAACTTGTAGGCTAGGCTAGATCAGATGATTATAGTCTATAACTATATATAACTTCGAGGCATTCCACAGATACCAGCCAGATCATATTTATGGTAGTAGGTAATGGACATATATTGTACTAACATGACGAATTTGAACAAATTTTGAAAGAAAATATTCAACTGGAAAATGTGGTAAATGTTGTTCTGTGCAAATCCCCCAGTTTTTAGGAATTTGGCGATGACTTATAATTTGGCGGACTCAAATAGTTTGGCAGATCCGCTAAATTAAAACAGCCACCAAATTAAGTAGAAGTATAGTATTTTTGTACGCTAACCTGCTGTACATTCAGAATATACCATCAGTTCAATATACCAACAAAACACAATCTAGTATTCTCTCAAAAGTAATTGCAATCACACCTTTGATGGCTGGGCTTCATAATGACCTAGATCCTTAAGCCTTGTATATACCGCTATATTGCGTTTCAATTGTTTCAATCGATTCAATCATTTCAATGCATGCATCATTTCCTCTGTTTCAATGCTTGCGTCATTTTGAGCATTTTAATCATTTTAATTGGGTCGCCTTTGCATATGAAATTATACATTGTATTTCGCCGATTGTGCCCGTTTCGCAATTTCAAGAATTTCAATCAAACAAGCAATTCAGGAAGAAATGGGCAAAGTAATTGAAAAGAAAAACGAACATGAACATTTCTCGTCTCAAGCATTTCGCCTAAACTTTTCAATCGATACGTCTTGGAAAAATTACAGTTACAAGCATTTCAATCAATTCGCCTGAGCTATTTTCACTTTCAATTTTATTTCAAGCAGTTCGGCCATTCGCCCCCATTTCAAGCATTTTGCCTGCCAGTGTATACACCCCTTTAGATCAAAATAACTCAAAAGGATATTTCTATTTCCAGATGGCAATGGCTGCAGTAAAGGTAATATGGCACTAAAATTTTATTTCTGAACATAAACATCAAACATGTTGTCATACAGGAGATTTGTGACATTTATAACATCCCACCACACATGCAATATATTACACCATGCAAGGTTATTAAAGACTCATAGCTCTACAATATCAGAATACTATGCTGTGATGGGTGTGCCACATGGCTGTTCACTGGAGGAGCTCAAGGAAGCGTATATCAAGCTTGCAAAAAGACTTCATCCTGACAGTAGAAATAAAGATGCTGATGGAGCACAGTTTGCAATTGTGGAAAATGCTTACAGGAGACTACAGGTACAAAAGATGAACCAATACAGGTGGTAAAATCAAGGAATATTAAAATACTACAACCAGTTTATAGTTTATATACAGGGTGTCCCGAAAGTATGGGGCCCCCCCTAGGCAGACATACACCAATGTTCCCATAGTATGTGTCATATATCATTTTAAAGCTTATCCAAAGTTACATTGATTTGCCAAGTATCATCGTTCAACTTACAAATGGGAAAAAGTTACAGTCATTTCAAAACTTAGTGTATGGCCAAAAGTAAAGTTAAAATCAGTATCCTGGAAACACTGCTAGCCTGAATGTGACCAAAAATATGGGTGCTATCGTTAAAGAGAGGATGGATATTGAGTTCTAAAAAGAGGACGTTTAGGGTAGATACTCCAAGGAAACTCTTCTAAAATGCCTTAAAAAGGTTTTATGAGGATTATTAAATGCCATACCCCTATTTGCAGTGTATTAAAGGTCATATCTGGAAAATATTGCTGCTGTTAACATGGCCAAGGGAGACACGGCGACCATTAATTTTGTGTAAAACTAAACTTTAATTTTGGTAAAACACTACATTTTGAAATGTGTGTAACTTTTTCCCGTTTGTGAGTTGAACCATGATACTTGGCAAATCAATGTAACTTTGGACAAGCTTTGAAATGATATATGACACATACTATGGGAACATTGGTGTATGTCTGCCTAGGGGGGGGGCCCATACTTTTGGGACACCCTGTAGTTTGAATGCAATATTTCCAATGTCCTGAAACTATTCTTAAATTACATTTCACACATAGCTAGGCAAGATGTGTCTGATTCCAGCCAATCCGAACACAGTATTTCATATAACTGCATGCATTATATAACCAACAATTTACCCAAGGTCATTTGTTGAAATTATTAACACAATACCAACAAATTACATGTGTATTGTGCAAGTCTCTGTTTTCCAAGTAATATTTTGAATATTTTAACATGACTTTACAACACAGCTGCTCAATAAAATATTATTCATGTTATTAGAGTTTCATTTAATGACATTTCAGGAACATATCCAAAGTGAAGCATCAGGTGAAAATAAGGCAACAGAAGAGGAGGGTGAAGTGATACAGATCAAGCACACAGTTCCACAACACAGACAGTATCTTGGTTATGAGGTAGTGCTCATGAAGAATTTCATATTTGCTCATTCAAATTTATCATTAGATAGATACACTGTAAAACCTAAAATGATCAAGTTATCATGAAAAGCACATGTTTAAGAACTAGACGTAGTCCTACATGTCAGCATGTAGCTAAGATAAAACAGCTGTGTTACATTTAGTTTGTTCATCCATGTTTTTCCTCAAGAAGATCGGCACGCAATAAAGTAGGAATCTCTTTCCTCTATTTTATGCATGTATGTAGATAACTCTTTCATGACAATTGGTCCAATGATGATCACCCCATATATATTCCTCCAAAATGAAATAATCTCCCATCATAACACGATTAATGTAAATTTGAACTTTCATTTTATTGGTCTGAGACCACTGACTGCAATTATTCATATGTCATACTGTGATTGGTCAAAAAAACATTTATTTCTACAAACAGGAACAAAATGGGCGATCCAAAATTTTGTAAACATGCCTCAAACAACAAATTATTACTTTCCGGTATAATAAAGCAATATTATGACTTGTTATTCTGCATCAAGATATGGGATATAAGGAATTTGATTATGTTGATTAAAACATCACAATTATGTCTAGATGTTGGAAAATTTGCTCAAAATGAAAATGATATGTTCAAGAAGAAATTTGTATGTTGAAGAAGCAAGTTCAACGGTGGACAAGACTCTTCCCCTCTTTTCTTATAGGGTGTTGGTTTTGGGACACCCACTCAGCGAGAAAAGCAGTACCAGCAGTACAAGGTGGCCAGAGCACAGGACACTGTAACAGATCGCAGGATAGAGAAACATGCTGGGCAGTATGAAACAGCAGTGATAGTCAAGGACAAGAAGCGCAGTCAGACTCACAGAGTCAAGTAAGTATACATAAAAATTCATGTATTCATGTAGGCCATACTGTGAAGTAGATGCTAATTTTTTAACTTAGCATTTTACCTAAAAGTCAAGGTCATTTCACTTTGACAAGTTCTCAAATTTTTCAATGAATTTATTTGATATCAAAATATAAAATACAACAGTAAAAAATATCTATAATTGTGATTGTACTAATAATACTTTGATCTGGTTGCAGGGGAAGTATAAACAGTGTCGTGAATGACTTGATTCTTGATGCAATGAATCGGGGTGATTTTGACAATCTTCCTGGGGCAGGAAAACCATTGAAGCATACCACCTACAATATAGGGGTAGATTCCACCACACACAACCTCAATAAGATTCTAGTCAACAATGGCTTTGCTCCTGAGTGGGTCATGCTGCAGAAAGATATCAAGTAAGTGCTTGTTTATTTATTTATGCATCGTAAGGCTTAATAGTGATCACTTCTCTCTAGTGAGCCCCTCTCTTGGGGGTAGCTAGTAGATCAAATAAAATAATGCAGTTGTTTAAGAAGAATCTGTCCATTTTCAGGTCAGAACATAAAAAAGGCAGAAAACAATTATGCAGAAAGAGACTCTTTTTAGGAGGACTTCCCTTTACATCTAGTCAAGAAAAACTTTGGAAGGGATACACAGATGACTTTCGCCAAACTATAGCAGATGTTAATAAATTAATAGATAAGTTCAACATGATAGTCCCTTCAATGCAGTGGCAAATGTTTCATTACAAAACAGAGCCTTTTATTAAACAAACTTTAGATGCAGATTTAGAAGCATTGGCTCAGGAACTTGGTGAAAAAATAGCAAAATTCTCAGGAAATCAGCAAGAGTGCAGAAACTTTGATCCAGGAATGTCTGGAGGGCCTGGTGATGAAAATGCAGTATTTAAGGAATTTTACAATGAAATTAAATCTTGGTTTTTAAATTTAAAGACAGAGAAAAAAGATGGTTAGCCTCACTCGTTTAGATGAAATTGACCAAGGCATGAAATAGATGTCACTATGAGAGCATCCACAAAATTCAACTGATACTATATAACATAATAAACATATCACTGTCTTAAAGATGAACATATACTTGTTTCTGGTCATCGGATTTTCAAATGATATACCTGTCTATCTGTCCACAAATCTTTCTTTTTTATGTTTATTTGACATGTCCTATTTTAGAAAATATTATTTTACATGAGGAAGAAGTGTCCTTGGCTGTCCCCCCATCATCATTACCATAATAGTCTAGAAGACAATTCTTTAACAATTCTTTCAGTACGAATGTTTATTCAATGACTTTTTGAATTCTTTATTTAGCACTTTTTTAATTCAATATCAATGATTTTTAGTTTTCTGAAAATGTTGACTGAATCCCCATTGGGACAATGTTCGAAACTATTGTTGATTTAGTATTATTAAGATCACAATTTTAAGGTTAAATCACAATATTCACATCTACAGGAACATCTAGTTGCATGCCAATGAAGTTGAACATTACTTTCTTTGTATTGAGAAGCTTACTTTATTTCTTCATGAATCAATCATTTCCAATGAGATTTATTATCATAACTTTTTATTATCCTTTCATAATATTTATCTTTTTGGAAATATTGGTAACATAATGTGTGTATATGAGGTATGGTATTGGTATCCGTTTATATGTCTCTGGTACGAGGTGTTTAATGTACAGCTCTTATTGGATACTCTGTGTGTATTTATTATACTATATTCTAGCATGGGCTTTCAACTAGAGTGTCATGCTCGGTGATAAAAAAAAACATGACGGAAGGGGAGCAGGCAATTTCTGCTAGAAAATCCCGGGTAGAAAATTCAAAAAATCTGGAAGATTTATTTTTTTCAAGAGAAAGTTTACTATTGAATTGTTAAATGGGTAGGCACACGGTATGGTAAAATATGTTAGGTCTTCTCGGATTTTTTTTGAAAAATACGCTTCTAAGATATGAGATCTATTAAAAAAGACCCAAGGCCACCAACATGATGTCAATGATTTTGCTATAAATCAAGTAACAATTGTCAAACGCAACCTGTAATAAAAACGTGTAATTGTCGTTATCGGTAACAGAATTAATGCCATTGCTGACTTCATAAAATAAGTTTCCCTACGTCTTATTGAAAATAAAAAAATAATCAAAAATAATTAAAGTGGGATGGAGGGGGGAGGTATGTCTATCAGGCATGATAAGAGATGTTACTTGACTTTATGTCCTTCAGCTCCAAATTTTCTTCCAATTTTTTCCCTCTTCAGAGATGTAACATCCAGTCTCTTACTGAGTTACTAAGTTCATTTTTCAAATACAAGAATTCGTGTAAATTTGCACTCTCCGTTCCGTCCCCTCACTCCTTCCCATTTAAATTATTTTCGATTATTTTTATATAACACTTGGAAACTTATTTTGTCAACTTAGCAATGGCAATGGTATTAATTTTGTTATAACAAATATTTATTACAGGTCGTGTAGACCATTGTTACTTGATTTATAGCAAAACTTTGACTTGTGTTAGTGGGCTTACGTCTTTTTTTATTTAATATATCTCATATCTCGTATTTGTTCAAAAGAATCCAAGATTCTTCTTCTTCTTTATCCAGTTTACGTGTTAGTGTACTTAACACGATGGCACTTTAATGCTGCCTTTGGTCACTAGATACTTTGTTTTCACTGTGTACTATTATTTCACTTGTAATTTTCACTAATACTTGTTTTGATAGACTTTTGAGAGTGCGCATTTTGACATTGTTATCTAAAAGAGTCAGTATCTCAATTATACTGGAGACTTTAAGAGTCACTATCTCTGTTTCGTTTGATTTTTTAAATTCTATTAGTTGATAGTATGAACTGTTGTAGTCGTTCTACTATTTCTGTGTTGATATGCCGGTCTAAGTTTGTATTAAGACCTGTGATGGTTTGTAAGTCTATGGTTGGGTTGTAGTTGGCTCCTAGTAGTACATTGTCTATAGCCGCTAGCATTACCTCCCTCTGAGCACTGTATTTGCTGCACTGAAACAAGAAATGATGCAAAGTTTCTGGTGAATTACAGTGTTCACAGTTGGGAGAGGAAAGATCAGGGTTGATTTTGTAATAGTGGCCATTGAGACGAGTGTGCCCAGATATAATTTGATTGACTTTTGTCTGACTGTATCTTTTACCCAACTTTAATGATTGTGATTTAACTTTTACTTGTGGTATAAGGTTTTGAATCAAGTTAACTTTATCAGAGTGGATATACCTAGTTTGCCACTTATCAATGGACATATTTTTGATTGATTTATAAGCCATAGTTTTTGTTGTTTTTGGGGGAGGGAGGGTTGTGGCTGTACTTGCAGCTTTTTTGGCTATTTTATCAGCTACTTCATTGCCCTCAATTCCAAGATGTCCAGGTACCCAAAAGATTTCTATGTTTTTCTTTAGCATGGAAAGTGTTTTGCAGGCTTTTCTTATGCTGATGATTTCAGGCATCATATTTTTGAGTTTGGTGTTCAAAAATGCAGTTGTTATGGCTGGTTGGCAGTCAGACAGTATAGTAATTTTATCAGACGTCCTGGTTCCGACAATAAATTCCACTGCCAGCTTGAGTGCAGTGACCTCTCCAGTGTAGTTGTTACCTTGGCTGGCTACTGGTTCCTCCAGGCATATTGGATTGCTTTTTAAGCCACTGATGTAAATAATGGCTGAAGCACCAGTTGGTCCTGGATTGCCATTAGCGGACCCGTCTGTGAAGATCACAGTCTCTGAGCCATCAAGATCATTCAGCAAGTTGTTGATGCGATGAGATTGCTCAGATTTGGATCTGCTGAAATCCTCAGTATGCACGATGACATCAGCTGGTAAAAAGGTCTCTGTGTCTGCTTGGTAGTAGCTGTGTTTAGCATAGTTAGATACCAAGAAGACATTACATATTTTACCAAACCGTGTGCTTATTCATTCAGCGATTCAATAGTAAAACATAAATCTTCTAGATTTGTAGAACTTACTAGCAGAAATTGCCTGTTACTCCCCCGCCCGTCCCATTTTTGGATCACTGGGTGTGAGTTCATTGTGTTACCTTCTTATTGTTCACTATATTTGTATATGAGGTTAATTGTGCTCAGCTCTTATTGGTCACTCTGTGTATATGAGGTACATTGTGTTCAGCTTTTATTGCTCACTCTATGTATATATGAGGTACATTGTATTCCGCTCTTATTGGTCACTATATGTGTATATGAGGTACATTGTGTTCAGCTCTTATTGGTCACTCTATGTGTATATGAGGTACATTTTGTTCAGCTCTTATTGGTCACTCTATGTGTTTATGGCTCTATGTGTATATGAGGGAGATTGTGTTCAGCTCTTATTGGTCACTATATGTGTATATGAGGTACATTTTGTCCAGCTCTTATTGGCCACTCTATGTGTATATGAGGTACATTGTGTTCCACTCTTATTGGTCACTCTATGTGTATATGAGGTACATTTTGTCCAGCTTTTATTGGTCCCTCTATGTGTATATGAGGTACATTGTGTTCATCTCTTATTGGTCACTCTATGTGCATATGAGGTACATTGTGTTAAGGTCATATTGTTCACTCTATGTGTATATGAGGTACATTGTGTTCAGCTCCTATTCTTCACTCTGTGTATATGAGGTACATTGTGCTCAGCTCTTATTCTTCACTCTGTGTATATGAGGTACATTGTGTTCAGCTTTTATTGGTCACTCTATGTATATATGAGGTAGATTGTGTTCAGCTTTTATTGGTCCCTCTATGTGTATATGAGGTACATTGTGTTCATCTCTTATTGGTCACTATATGTGCATATGAGGTACATTGTGTTAAGGTCATATTGTTCACTCTATGTGTATATGAGGTACATTGTGTTCAGCTCCTATTCTTCACTCTGTGTATATGAGGTACATTGTGTTCAGCTCTTATTGGTCACTCTGTGTATATGAGGTACATTGTGTTCAGGTCTTATTGGTCATTCTGTGTATATGAGGTACATTGTGTTAAGCTCTTATTGGTCACTATGTGTATATGAGGTACATTGTGTTCAGGTCTTATTGGTCACTCTATGTATATATGAGGTACATTATGTTCAGGTCTTATTGGTCACTCTATGTGTATATGACGTACATTGTGTTCAGCCCTTATTGGTCACTCTATTTGTATATGAGGAACATTGTGTTCAGCTCCTATTCTTCACTCTGTGTATATGAGGTACATTGTGTTCAGCTCTTATTGGTCACTATGTGTATATGAGGTACATTGTGGTCAGCTCTTATTCTTCACTCTGTGTATATGAGGTACATTGTGATCAGGTCTTACTGGTCACTATGTGTATATGAGGTACATTGTGATCAGGTCTTACTGGTCACTATGTGTATATGAGGTACATTGTGTTCAGCTCTTATTGGTCACTATGTGTATATGAGGTACATTGTGTTCAGCTCTTATTCTTCACTCTGTGTATATGAGGTACATTGTGTTCAGCTCTTATTGATCCCTCTATGTGTATATGAGGTACATTGTGTTCAGCTCTTATTGATCACTCTATGTATATAGGAGGTACATTGTGTTCCACTCTTATTGGTCACTCTATGTGTATATGAGGTACATTGTGTTAAGGTCATATTGTTCACTCTATGTGTATATGAGGTAGATTGTGTCCAGCTCTTATTGGTCACTCTATGTATATATGAGGTACATTGTGTTCAGCTCTTATTGGTCACTATGTGTATATGAGGTACATTGTGTTCAGCTCTTATTGATCACTCTATGTATATAGGAGGTACATTGTGTTCAGCTTTTATTGGTCACTCTATGTGTTTATGAGGTACATTGTGTTAAGGTCATATTGTTCACTCTATGTGTATATGAGGTAGATTGTGTTCAGCTCCTATTCTTCACTCTGTGTATATGAGGTACATTGTGTTCAGCTTTTATTGGTCACTCTATGTATATATGAGGTACATTGTGTTCAGCTTTTATTGGTCACTCTATGTATATATGAGGTACATTGTGTTCCACTCTTATTGGTCACTCTATGTGCATATGAGGTACATTGTGTTAAGGTCATATTGTTCACTCTATGTGTATATGAGGTAAATTGTGTTCAGCTCCTATTCTTCACTCTTTGTATATGAGGTACATTGTGTTCAGCGTTTATTGGTCACTCTATGTATATATGAGGTACATTGTGTTCAGCTTTTATTGGTCACTCTATGTATATATGAGGTAGATTGTGTTCAGCTCTTATTGGCCACTCTATGTGTATATGAGGTACATTGTGTTAAGCTCTTATTGGTCACTCTATGTATATATGAGGTAGATTGAGTTCAGCTCTTATTGGTCACTCTATGTGTATATGAGGTACATTGTGTTCCACTCTTATTGGTCACTCTATGTGTATATGAGGTACATTATGTTCAGGTCTTATTGGTCACTCTATGTGTATATGAGGTACATTGTGGTCAGCTCTTATTCTTCACTCTGTGTATATGAGATACATTGTGTTCAGCTTTTATTGGTCACTCTATGAATATATGAGGTACATTGTGTTCCACTCTTATTGGTCCCTCTATGTGTATATGAGGTACATTGTGTTCCACTCTTATTGGTCACTCTATGTGCATATGAGGTACATTGTGTTAAGCTCTTATTGGTCACTCTGTGTATATGAGGTACATTGTGTTCAGCTCTTATTGGTCACTCTGTGTATATGAGGTACATTGTGTTCAGGTCTTATTGGTCACTCTGTGTATATGAGGTACATTGTGTTCAGGTCTTATTGGTCCCTCTATGTGTATATGAGGTACATTATGTTCAGGTCCTATTGGTCCCTCTATGTGTATATGAGGTACATTATGTTCAGGTCCTATTGGTCACTATGTGTATATGAGGTACATTGTGTTAAGCTCTTATTGGTCACTCTATGTGTATATGAGGTACATTGTGTTCAGCTTTTATTGCTCACTCTATGTATATATGAGGTACATTGTATTCCACTCTTATTGCCACTCTATGTGTATATGAGGTACATTGTGTTCCACTCTTATTGTTCACTCTATGTGTATATGAGGTACATTGTGTTCAGCTCTTATTGGTCACTCTATGTGTATATGAGGTACATTGTATTCCACTCTTATTGGCCACTCTATGTGTATATGAGGTACATTGTGTTCCACTCTTATTGGTCACTCTATGTGTATATGAGGTACATTTTGTCCAGCTTTTATTGGTCCCTCTATGTGTATATGAGGTACATTGTGTTAAGCTCTTATTGGTCACCCTATGTACATATGAGGTACATTATGTTCAGCTTTTTTTGCTCACTATGTGTTATGAGGTACATTGTGGTCAGGTCTTACAGGTCACTATGATTAATTATTCTTTACCGTCGATCTTAAGTTAATTATTATTGAAAGGAATGGTATACGATAGATGTAATGTTCGATATTCTTATTTAGAGCTTAGTTAAAAAATTAATAATGAGTGAACGCCGCTTAGTGTTATATTCTACGCCATATTGCTTATCATTGAGTATTTCATGACCTGACCTTAAAAATGAGTAGAATATCTATATAACCCGATACACTGTACAAACACGATATACTGATATATCATTAATAGTTCCACCCAAAGCTCAAACGTCAGTCGGATGCTATAAAAAGCCCAGCGTAATCTGGCCAGTGAAAATCAATATAAGAACCAAGGAGGATTGGCTCCCAGGATCGAAACTCGATATTTTCCAACAATGAAATCGTCGAAATGTCGTTATTTTCTGAAATTATAACCAACTATAAATTCAAAATAAACAGTCCAAAAGATTCGAACCAATATCTCGATCATTTCTCCTGAGTTTTGGAATTTTTCGTTCGGAAACAAGACCAAAATTCACGATTCAAATGCTGAAGTGAACAAAATGGTGGCTGTTTGAATTCAAATTTTGTATCACGACATGCCCATATATGGGACAGAATATCGATGTTGCACTCTGGGAGCCAATCCTCCTTGATAAGAACTATAAATACAAGTCGGAGTCTGGATACATACGGCATATCACGTAGGCCACGTTTTGGGGTACTTATACTTCGGGGCGTGTGACTGAAGCACCCGGCCGGCCGACTTGATCTTTTGGCTTAGAGAATAAGTCTCTCTCTGTGCTCTTAAAGTAGATCAGTCGCATGTAACTGACAGAAAACAAAGACCTGAAAAGCAAACAATAATTGGTGAGTAAAATTAGGCTTACAGAATACAATATAATCACCGACTCTGTGTCTTGGCCTCATGGAGCTCGACAGTCTCTATAGAGAAAAGCAGGCGAAGGGACGGAATCTGCTTTAAATTTCTGTTTTTGTACATGTTCTTATCTAGGGTGTCAGGATTAGGCTTAAAATTAAAATTAGGCTTACAGAATACAATAAAATCACCGACTCTGTGTCTTGGCCTCATGGAGCTCGACAGTCTCTATAGAGAAAAGCAGGCGAAGGGACGGAATCTGCTTTAAATTTCTGTTTTTGTACATGTTCTTATCTAGGGTGTCAGGAAAATGGCTAATGTGCATGAGAAGGACTAAACAAACATATTTGAAATACGTTGTGTTTATCTTTGCCATTGAATACTTCAATGTTAACAAGGTCATGTTTTCCACCAAACCCTCTCTTCACATTCCGAGAGCGCAGTCACTGATAGTTGTATTTGAATACCGCAAACAATTTTTCAAGCAGATCTCAAATTGCATACAGTTAAAATCATGAATTGCATTGCAATCGCTCATACAGTACATTATTTCTAATGTCCCCTAAGTTTTAGGGAACTGAAATATGAGTGTGGGGGAATATTTTTCAGAAGTTTTATGACATTATGCACGCCTTGCATTTGTTTTCTTAAAAGATAGCTTCGTCTTATACTTTTGAACTAACCTCTTCGCTCGGGATAATGAACTAGCCTACACCATTTTAAAATTTAAAACTTTTAACATGTGTCATCCTTTCGTATGTATCATTGAGGAATAGTAAATTAAACTTTGATTTAATAATCTCAATGTTTATACTGTACTGATACTTTTTTATTACAAAATGCCAATTAAACGTTAGTGTCTATAATACAATCGTCTAGGTTATTAGTAAAATGATGGAAAAATAGTGAAGAAATAACAATATTGCACTTTTGGCCCACCCTGTAAACACACCTTTCCACCATTTGTTCCTGAATATAAGATGCTAAATATTATTAGCTATCAAGATTTGTAATGTCAGGAGAAATGATTTTCATGATGTGAGTCACAAACATTCCGACAGCCACTTTCTGACTGTGTGGTTTAATCAAAAATTGAACACTTGAATGCATTAGTATCTGAAACGTCATTTCTGACAAAATACGATAAAAATGTAAAAAACAACCAATATCTGCGTAAACTATGAAAATCTATTAAAATTATCTATTTTGTATTTCAGATCATGGCAGAGGAAGATGTTGTCAGCACTGGTAAAGAGGATGGTGCTGATGTCCTGGAGAAGTACATAGAAAACATGGACTCTGAGGACCAGAAAGCGTTGGCATTCACGATCATACGTTCCATCACGTGTATGCTCATTAAGAAAGGTGGTAAATATGCTGCCAAGAAGTTTGGACAGGATTCATTGATAAGCTCAGGAAATGTCCTCGGGTCGTTGGAGAGTATATGGCAACAAGGTCGAGAGAAAGTTGGCGATACAGATGCGGATGAATCGTCTATTGTAATCGCTAGACTAACTCTACTTTTAGCTGATATACTCAGAGTTGGGTTTGATTCGTATAAAGCAGTACAGAAACGACCTCCAGAAGAACGTAAGAGTACAGATATCGTAAGATGCGTCATTATGGAAGCCGAACGCCGAGGGATAAAACGTCTTGTGAAGGATGGAATTAAACTTGGCCACTCTCTACTGAAGAAATATGTGTTGATCTACACTCACGAGTACATCAATGGTACAGTGAAAGCTGGAGTCAACATTACCACTGCACTCGCTGGACTCCAAGTCGACATTAGAATGGCAAAGAAAGACACGAAAGAAGGTCGTTTAACAAAGGAGGAGTTTCAGGCGCAGATTACGAAGAAAAGCTCTCAGAAGGTGCTAAAGGTCGTTGGTACACTAATCGGTGAACTGTTATCAGAACTGTTGTTTGGAGAATCGTTTGCAGCAGAGGTGTCAATGAGGTTAGCCTTTGGACAGGCAGGGAAGGCTATTGGAGGGACTAAAAAATTGCGCTCAGCATCTTCCAAAATACTCACATGGAGTGGAGTGTTCGAATAGAGGCAAAATTGATCGCTAGATGTTTACACTAGAAATCTCTAGTCTAGTTGATTCTGAAGCATTGTCACTCTATTCAGCGTTACACTAGTTTCGTTTGCAAGTTATAATCCAGGTGTAAAAATCCGTAGCAAAGCTTCAACTACATGGTGCTCAGTCCAGAATCTTTTGGTACTGTTCTAACCATTTATATCCGGCTGAGTAGGCCCATCATTATTTTAGTAGTGCCCAGGGATATCGGATCCCATCTACATGGCCTCATTTAGTCCTAATTGTGGTCATAGACCTGAGACCATCACAAACTTTGTTTATGTTAGTCTCAGATAGACTGAGGAAAATTGTTGTATTAGGTCACAGCGAGTAAACATTGAATTCGAGGGACACCCACCAGCTACCACACGATACAGTGATTTTTTTCAAGTAGCAGTTGAAAATTTATATGAATTTGAAAAATCACTTACTGAGTTGACATTTTAGATGTTCATAATAAATAAATTTATTATGAAATTATATTGCCTGTCTGATGATAAAATTTCAAAAATATTCTTTCATTACTGGGTCATCCTGCCTCCAGACGTGGCTAATCATTTTATCGTGTATATGTATATAATGGATGTGTTTTACACTACTGAGGCAAGACGATTGAATAATGATATTTAAACATTTCAATCATTGTAAACAACATCATTTCCTGCATATCAGCCTTGGTAGTACTTTTAAACCACGGGCCTAATAAAATTTCATTTCATTTTTACCTTGATCGAATACGAGTATGAGATATTACTTATTTGTGGCGTTGGTTGCTATAACCATTCTCGGCTTTGGTAAGTATTATTGTTCTAATTCTATCGTATCTATGGCATCCATTCTCTCAACATTTTCAAAGTTCATTCAAGATTTTTTATTAATTGATCCTGTCCTCTATTCCCTATGTTGTGTGGTATCAATATAAAGAACAATTTTGGTGATAAAGCAAATCTGATGTACTATGAGTAGTTATAGAAACGAGAGTTCTGACGCACCTTTAACATTGAGTCCTATGGGGAGGGACACGATTTTTCATAGTACCCTCCCTAACATGGGCTCCAATGGGGAGGGACATCTGTGAGCCTCCCTGAGCTCGGGAGGCACATACGGGGACCCCACCCCTCCCCCCCTCGGCGTGGTGGCGTGTACATATTTCGGGAATCTCGAGCCCTAAGGTAACGGACGCCCTACCCCACGTTTGTACGTTTACTGTAAGGATACTATTCGAATTCCCGCCAAAAACAATAAATCGATAAACCAGTACGCGTCGTAAATGTCACTGCCTTATTTATAAAGTGCGGCCCAGGCGGATTATCGATTACCTATCAACCAGGCGTTTCGTACTCGCGAGGTCTTATCGTTTTAAGGTCATCCAGCTGTCAGTTTACGAAACAAATTACTCTGGACTGTACTTTAAAGTGCGGACCTAGCTCGATTATCGATTATCAATCAACCATCCATCAACTTTAATTAGTGTAACGTCCTTCATCGATTTAAGATCATACCGTTTAATGGATGTTACATTTGGTTGGGATAAATATTTATTTGCTAATTCGTCAACACACTTCTTTTCAAAATACATCAACTATAATACATATTTACATTATAACATTCAAAATTCTTCATTGAATCATACACAAATTACAAAGGTATTAAATCGGAATCTTTAACCCACGAATCAAACTTTTTTGGCCAATATTGCCAACGCACTAAATGTTCCCGTTGCCCTCGTCTAGTTCGTGTTTTCAAGATTTTTTCTACTTTCCAAATATCATCTTCATTCGCTTGTACTCTTTGAAGCTCCGATTGGTAAAAAGTACCCTTAATGTCTTCATTTTGAAAATCATTTAAACGATATAATGGGAGGCCCTGCCTAATAAAACGTTTCGTTACTTTAAAAATTTCCCCTGTCCAATGTTGGTCGTATTCTCTACTAAAAACATGTCTCGACTGGGTAATTCTTACCAGAGCTCCAATGGGGAATTTAAAGATGTGATTAGATTTGGTTTTAACGATAGTTGATTTAGGATAATACATCCGCCACCAAATAACCAATTCATCGTCTTTAGATACATTTTTAGGAGCCATTTTTATACCCCTATGCCAAGTGGCGTTATAACTCTTCACAAAGTTTTGTAAATTGTCTATAAATCTATGGTTCTGTTTGTACGTGATATACCTCATTATTTTAGTCTTTAACGTCTTTATCAATCTTTCTGCATAGTTGGCCTTGGGGGTATTACCCGTAACAAAATGGCGGACTCCCCATCTATTCAACAATGTTTGTACAACCTTAGCGCGGAATTCTTGACCTTTGTCCGTCCTAGTGACATCTGGTTGTCGACCTTCTTTCAATATATCATCGAAAGCCTCCGCCACTGCCTTTCCAGTTTTGGAGTGTAGCGGTCTAACCCAGGCAAAGCGAGACATAATGTCAATCGCAACCAGGATATACTTTATCCCGTCATTCTGCGATGATATATTAGAGACATCCATAAGATCTGCATCCCATTGTTCGTCAATATGCGAGACATATACTTTGTTACGAGCGAATCGTTTCTTATAAGGTCTCTGTAGGCCATAAGCTTCTTGATTGTCCAGCCATTTCTTTATCTGATAACGGGACAGCTGGTATTTCCCATCATTTAGTACAGCTCTATAGAGTTTGTCTGGTCCAGCAAAGGCTCCAGAATTTCGACTGTCAAAGTATAATTTCTTTAAATAGTCTTGATATGCCATCTTACACTGTCGGAATCTGACTCCTTAATGACGATCTCTCTTTAAATTGCTAATATTTATCACTCAGTGCTTGATTCAACAGCCTCGTTTTCGGATTCACTCTGTTCTTCCTCGGAGCTACTTTCCTGGTCTGTATCCTCTATAAAGACCTCATCAAACTTGTGTTTGTTTTTTAAAAGTGTCTTCCTAATGGCTAAGTTCACAGAGACACCCCTCCTCATCATATTATTTATTGAATCAATTATATTTCTGTGTAACGCATTGTCTTTTACATCAACCGTTAGCTTGACGAATTGTTTATATCCTTTTATAAATTCTTCCTTATTCTTTGACAATAGTTTATTATCTGCCTTTTCTACAGCCTCTGTCTTATCCATCCCTCTATCCATATACTCATCCACTTTACGTCGGTGGTCTTCCTCATTCTGTCTTATAGACCACTTCTTTAAGAATGCAAATGTTTCATTTGCTTTCAAATCACCATCATCGTCATCAACGTCATTGTCTTTGTCTTGAGGAATCTTCTCCTCAATATTTTGGGTAGATTGGGTCCTCATCCTCTTGGGTAGTGGTCCCTGATCTTGACACCACTTTTTTATATGCCTCTGTAAGTCGTGAATGCTATCAAATACTAAACCACAGTCATCACAGGATACCATGCTGTCTTCTCGAAATTCACGTTCCATGTAAGGGTAGTTCTTAACATCACTACTATTTATAAATGTTGTCGTCGGATAGTCAACTTCTGAAATACCCTGTCTTTCAAGTAAGTGTTTTGAATCATTCATTGGTTCCTTGAAGTTGCGGGAATCGTGATGACTTTCAAATTCAACTTCACTTTTAGTAAAGGCATTTGGTTTCAATCTGCTGTGCTCCGAAGTTTCTTGCTTCAGATCAAGAAGCAGGTAACCATAGGGTCGACTAGTTGCGTTGGTATATGCTCTGACCAACTTGTTTCCATTTCCGGGGTACATCTGCCTCGATAAGAATGCCACCTGTTGGCGATCTCTCGGGTTATTAAACAGTATCATATAGTGAGAGTTTAACCTCATCGATCTATTCATTTTTCCTTGATGATACATATTCTGGAGTAGGCATATCACAGACAGATTTCGATGGTGACTGCCTTTGCTATAGAGATCACATATCCGTTGATCATTTGTTGCCTCATTCATAAGATCATCGAGAAGTATCAAAGTAGGAACTGAAGTGTCAAGGTATCTTGAATCATCAATATCCTCTGGTATTCCCTTCACAAATTCCAAATGTGGGTATTTTCTTAGCTCTTCGTAGGCAGGCTGCCATTGACCATAACACCAGATGATTCTTCTAGGAATTGGGGATATATACCGTTCAACATTTTTGATCAAGTGCTTCATAAGCCAGGTCTTCCCCGACGATGTTGGTCCGGCTGAAAATACAACAAAAAAATTTTTTTTTAATAAATTGACATGCTCTCTTTCTATATTTAGAAACCTATCAGACTTTTAATTTCAACATGTCCATGCCTATACCTGCTATCATAGTAAACGGATGTTTCAGCATAACATCAGACTGATGCATTTTTTCTCCATGAAACTTATTCATATGCCTTGATAGGTTATCACCTCTCGTAAAATTCACACTACACTCAGAACAATTGAAAGACATGTTGTCTGTTCAAGATCTATCAGTAAAATGACTCAAAACATGGACAACTTAAAATATATCAGAATATTCTAATGTGCAGTATTGTGATTGGTTCAAAATGTGTCAATTAAGATCAATTGTAAACATAAACAGGCATTTATGACATTATAAACTATTGAATATTAAAGTAAAGGGAGGGGAGGAGGTTTGGAAGATGGAGAAGAGACAGGAGGAGGTTGGGTGGAAGTAGGAGGAGGTATGAGGTAAGGAGGAGGTAGGGAGGAGGTGGGAGGAGGTAAGGAAGAGGTTTGAGGAGGTAAGGAGGAGGTAATGATGAGGTAGGGAGGAGGTGGGAGGAGGTAAGGAGGAAGCGGGAGGAGGTAGAGAGGAGGTGGGAGAAGGTAAGGAAGAGGTGGGAAGAGGTAAGGAGGATATAGGGAGGAGGTAATGATGAGGTAGGGAGGAGGCGGGGGGGGGGAGGTAAGGAGGAGGTAAGGAGGAAGTGGGAGGAGGTAGGGAAAAGATGGCTAACTTCCGTTTTAAAACCTACCCAGGCCGACTAAAAGATGCCTCACTTCCGCTATGATGTCACCCTCTTGCCCAGACAGATGCAAAATGGCTGACTTCCTGCTAGAAAGCTTCAAAATGGCCGACTTCCGGTTAAATGGCTGACTTCCGGGCTGACTTCCGGTCAAAATGGCTGACTTCCTGTCAAAATGGCTAACTTCCGGAACGTATAGTCGTGGGGTAGGGCGTCCGTTACTCTTAGGGCCCGAGATTCCCGAAATATGTACACGCCACCACGCCGAGGGGGGAGGGGTGGGGTCCCCGTATGTGCCTCCCGAGCTCAGGGAGGCTCACAGATGTCCCTCCCCATTGGAGCCCATGTTAGGGAGGGTACTATGAAAAATCGTGTCCCTCCCCATAGGACTCAATGTTAAAGGTGCGTCAGAACTCTCGTTTCTGTAACTACTACTATGTATAATGATTGGGATTCGCAATTTATCATAACGACATTGAAATAGATTTCCCAATTTCAAACATAACAAATGAAATTCTTGATATACCTAGACAGTGCAAAAATGGAATTTCGTTGACAAAATCGTTTGAGGAGAGTGTACATACATTGAACATTGATGGCCTTAGAACACTGCAAATCTGGAACTATGTTTATTTCATCTAGTACTATCCTATAGCTATTTGGTTTCAGGTTGTTCTTCAAAGACAAAATATGGCCCCTGTAAATCTAAGTGTAAAAGGTTGAAGCTTGGGAATTGTTCAAGAGTATGCAGGGTCGAAACAGTATGTGTGTATTCGTTTTTTATTGGGATTTTGAAAAAAGGTCAAACTCAATGACAAGCTTGGCATGGTATTGGGCCTATATTTGGACATTTGGTTCGTCATTGGCCACTATTTGGACATTTGGTCTGGCTTTGGGGTGTTATTTGTAAGGAACAGCCAATTCATAGTACAAATTGGTTTGTATGGGAACATATTGATATCAATGGGGATCAATCATGGGCTCCCGTCAAAGTTTGTTTACAGTGACCCCGGGACTATGCAATGCAAATGCAATGCAATGCAATGTTAATGTTTAGTCTAGTTGCAGTTCCCTGTGACCCCCACTTGACGTACACACCTTCTCACACATACGTTACCAGGGTTGAATAGACAGGGTAATTTATATCAGCGACCAGGGTTCTCACCAGGAAATTTTTAGACCCCTGATTTTTTCTCGGTATCGCCCAATGTGAGATCAGAGATATCCTATTCATATACTTTTCAAAATACAACTTAAGATTATCTTCCTATTTTAATCACAATACACATTTCTCAAAGGTTTCTGACTTCCTATTCCTTGTTTGCATCCAGTTTTATGTATTTTCTCCAGAGTTTTACCACAAATAATGTGACAAAAATGTAAAATTAGACACCGGTAAAAAAAACTTAAATAAACTCCGGAAAAGCATTTAGACTTTGGAAGAGGGTCTGAAGACATTAGACTCCGGAGAATCTCCGGAGTCTAAAAGAGAACCCTGGTGACAGACAACTACTCATTACTAGACCTTGTTGACTTGTTGGGATGAGTATAGTGTTGGGGTTACAAGGGCTTGAACCTAGACTTTGTTGACTTGTACAGGATGATACGATTTGGAAGTCCTGCTGGAGAAGCTGCACGAGAAACTACACATCTACTATGGTCAATATAACCAGGGCAGTCCTCAGTGGATGTGTCGAGCATTGTAAAGGTGAGAAAAGCATTTAGAATGCAATGGACCTAAATTAAATGCAACGAGTGAATAGAATCCGCGTCTCTGGATTGTGGCATCACCCTTTGATGGTGTCTCAGCGTTTTTTACTTTTTGCAGTTGATTTTGTGAAAATAGTAAATAATGTGTCATCGAGTGCAGAGGGTCCTGTTTTTACCATGGATGGAAACTTTTACATGGTTTCATACAATGGAGGTGAAATCCTCAAAATTGACTTAACGAAGAATTTGGTAAATCCTGATATGATTCTTTTATGTTTTACTTACGAATGTAGAAGGATGATAAACCTCAGAATTATTCTATCTCAGGCTGAGCCTAAAATGCCATTATTGGCGATTAGTAAACGAATAGACAAATAAAACTTTTTACTAGGCTATATTCTAGTCTGTCACTACCTTTGGGCATACAGAATATCAACGTTACTTAACCTGTAAACGAAAGTTCCTCTTCTCTAATGCTTATAAACGTCACAAAATGTACATGGGATTTCTATGTAAATTACTTAAATTTTCTTTCACTCATTTGCAGTCAAGTCTTTTAGTTGCACCATCAGTGGGTGCAAATAGCGGGATGCCTACAGGATCTCAATGTGATCATAATAATAATATATGGGTTGCGGACCAGAGATTAGGCTTACTGAAAGTTTACAAAAATGGTACCTTCCATCAGGTAAGATCGTGTTTACTTACTATTGTGGAATGAATCATTCTTCCATTCTTTTTGGATGGGTTGTTGGTTATATAATTCTATGCAGCTACATGAAATGTTGTGTTCTGATTGGCTAGAATTGGACACACCTTGCCTAGCTATGTGTGAATTCGTTTTTCCACATTATTTATGGACATACCATAATGTTTATAATAATTTCAGATTGCAACCAAGGACAACAAGAATGCTACTATACAAGGATTTAACGATCTTATATTTGACTATCACGGTGACTTATGGATAACAGCACCAATTGGTCTCATCGCGCCCCATCCATTTGAAAACTCAAAAAAAGTAAATTATGAAATGATAAGCCGAAATAGAGCATTCTGATTAGTCGTCAACAGTTTTTGTAATAAACTATTTGGAAAGAAATATCCTTCGAAATGAATGGGATTAACCTCAAATAGAAATGTGTATTCGAAATTCATTCTGTTATTTCAAGCAACCGTTTGGAAGCGTGTACTGCTACAACCCTAGAACTGGTGATCTGATAAAGGTTTCCACTGGTTATGTATTTCCTAATGGTATTGCAGTGAAGCATGATAAATATGGCACTCCAACGAAACTGATATTTGGAGTCGATAGAAACGCCTCTCTTTGGAGCTTTGATATTATTGGCCATTGCCAGATTGCGAACAAGCGGCTCTGGGGATCTCTTCCAGGTTGTTATGTGTAATAAATCTCAGGGACATTCCATTAACCATCCGTTTCCATTTTGGAGGTATGATTTATAAAGTCAAAATCTCTGAAGTGTCAATATTTGTAGGCCCTTTGGGAATGGCTTTAATTTTAAAAAAATGTAAAGAGGCTTTAACACGTAGTTCAATGGGGGAGCTAAGGTTGCCAAACTTATGGAGGGGAGTGTATATAAGGACATCGAGTTATCGTTGATTCTTTTCTGTTTATAGCCAACAGTATTCCAGACGGTATGGATTTTGATGAGGATGGAGACCTCATAGTTGCAAACTATAACACTGGTCATCTGTATGTCTTCGGTCCTAAAGGAGGTGCACCAATACGTGAAATAAAGTGTCCCTTTGTGTACGCTACCAACGTTCACTTCAGGCCTAACTCAAAAGAGCTGTACATCACAGAGGGCGAGTCCAATAGTTTGTGGAAGATTCAGTGGAAGAGCAAAGGAATGAAACAATATTGCGAGACACCCGAGTTAAGGGGAAGATTTGGATATTGATCGTCGATTCTATTCAATTTGCGAAAACAGTGATATTTTATTTATATTGTTAGTACACATTAATATTGTAATATTTGTTTTGATTATGTATCCTTAAAACAATTTTTCTGCTTAAGAACACATGCCTACTGTTGTTTCATTCATGTATGATATGTTGCAGTATGTTTATGAGTAAATGTAATTTTAACCTCAATACAAACATATTTAGTATGGTTTCTCTTCTTCGTCATCGTGCTTTGTGATTCGTGATGCCAATGTACGTTTGGATCAATAAGCAACTCATGTTATTGAGACGGGGAGGTTAAATCATCAAACAATTTAAATAAATCATTTTAAATCACATGATTTTCTCGAATCATGCGAGGTGATAACATTTGCATGATATACTTGACTGAACATGTTTACCAGATTGCGTTGTTGGTTGCTATAACATCAACATGACTATCGCAGCGGGAATGCAAAGTTTAGGAAACAACGCCCAAGTGGAATGACTTAGCCACAATGCATTAAGCCTTGAGCTGATTATTTTCACAAGTGAGACGACAGATGACTTCTTGCTACAGAAGGATATCGTCGGCTAGGACACTTCGATAAATCTATTTGTCAAACTCACAATTCAATTCAACCAACGACACACTGTGAGTTGAATTAGAGCCAACTAGTGATGTTAAGGATATCTATGAAGTTGCTTACAATATGGATAAAATTGAAATACCCTTGGACCAAGCCATTCTGATACTCATAGCATCTTTCTGTTCCACCTGAAACATGCTCTGATAATATGAGGCATATTCTGTGATCTGAGCACATCAGATGGGCAGAGTTATAACTGTCAATAAGTGTGATAGTTATCATGTAATCATCTACCTTAATGTCAATACATAACATAATAGGCATTATATTTAACAGCAGATATTACAACAAAGTTACAAGGCACAGTTACACACAGTTACAAGTTTTATGCTGGAATGAAAGATCTCAAAAATCCTCAATTTTGAGCTCTCCTGGATCACCAAATTAAGCTCATTATATCATGGCATCTCAGGGCTGAGAAGATTTGAGATGTCTTGTTTTATAGTGATGGGTCCAACCTGGACTAGCGAAACTAGTATGCCTAATAAATTATCACTCCTTTGATAAATTGACACCTGTAGCCGACGGCAATGTTTAAAGTGTCGACTACTTTGTTATATATTAACTATAATCAGGATAGGTTTGTCTAGCATTTTTTGTATACCAGCCGCCAACGATTCGTTTCTAATCATAGATATAGCAGGATGTTTATACAGTATATTGTACTTAATTGTGTTGATCAGCTTTTAGGGATAGAACAGTAATACTTAGAATGACTAGTATGGATCATCAACAGGCAAGGAATAGCCCAAGTCAAAGTGAATGAAGGATATTCCATGCATGAACTACATGACAGTAATGATCATGAACTATTTCAGAGTTATAGTGTGTATTTTATGTAGTGTAGCTGTTGCGGTCGTTGTCATGAACGTGGTAACTGTCTATGAGACTGTGTCTTCTTACAGGAACAGACCAATCCATGATATACTAAACAAAGGTGATAAATTAACACATTCATATTTAACAACCATCGAAGATGATATTGATGTTATATATGAGCATTTGGAGAAACATAGAACTGATGCAATAAGGAATCAAGGACTTTATCAACGTGTTAAAATACCGAAATCACATATGGCAAATTTTAAAGATATTTCATCTAGTCGAGATGATTATTTCTTGCATATATCCACAGAACCAAATATTAAAACGCTACTGTTTGAACATCTTGACCCTGACACTGGCGTTGAACCAACTCAGGGCTTTCAATGGATAGGCAGTAAGTCTTTATGCAAGGTTCTCAATAATTACACAGGAGGACATGGCTATACTGGTCCTTGCATTGAAGATATGGAGCAAGCATTTAGCCAAACAGATGCTGAGCTAACAAGGACTCGATATAAGATGCCATTAAATGAGAAACTCACCGGGGAAGTTTACCAATGGAGTTCTATCTCAAGTTTCATCCATATTATGCAGAATGCAGTTGTTCTCCCAAATGGAGTTGTGTACATTGGCAGCTTACAGGTTGTCCCAAAGTGTTGTCTTGGGCCAAGTGTCATAAAGGAATCCAAACAGTATTTCGATCATCAAACAAAGTATAATTTAGATTCATTGATTGTTTACCCTGAGGTATTTGTTATATCTCAAAAATGGTCCGAGGGATTTTATCACGGTATAGTTGAATCCATTACAAGACTTTCTCGGTATATACAATTTATACAAAAACACAGCCAAATCAAACTATACATGGCTTGTAGTCACTTCATGCTCATAGCAGTTCAAACACTATTTCCCTCAAGAAACATATCAGAATTTATAATATGTGACAACACGAGTATATCTGCCTCGTTAGTCTATTTTCCAGAGGGATCCTCATGTGGACGATCGACGCCAGAAGCGTTGTCATTATCCTCAACCGAATTCAGAAATAAGATAAATATAGTAGGACAACCAAAAAACTATATTCTATTAATCCAAAGAACTAAGGATAGGTTTCTTGTGCAACATAGAGAAATAGCTGTTTATTTGAATGAGGTAGCTAAAGATAGTGGAATGGAACTATTCGTTTTTACGGATGATCCACTGCCAGCTTTTAAGGATGCCATGCAACTATTCAACCAAGCAAAACTTGTAGTTGCACCACACGGGGCTGGTCTGTCCAATACATTGTTCTCAAATCCCGGACTATTTATCATAGAGGTTGTTTGTAAAGACCCCAACTTGTGCTACCGAAGATTAGCAATTAATATCGGACACCACTATCATGGGGTCTCTTCAAAGTTTGGTTGCCCAACGATGTTGAATGTTGACGTCAAAGAAGTAAAAGATGCTGTACGGTTTTATATCAATAAAATTACTGATTGATCATGTTTTGTATACCTGCTTGTCTGTTTTCTTGTTTAAAGGGTAACGCTTATTAACGTTTCGCAAATTGAACACTCATTGTCGGTTTCGACACATTTTAGTATTAAAGGCACGATCCCGGAAAGCAGTCAAGGGTAGCCTACACAGGTTGAGGTCAATGTAAAGACGTCTAATAGGTCACTTCTTCTCGGTGCTTGGACCGTGGTGACATATAATTCGGCCTGATATGTAATTCTAGGTCTTGACAATTAACTGTATGTAAATGGTCTATACCAGCCCGTCCAACTGTCCTACAAACTTAAATAGACTGAACTACAAAACCAAACGAAGAAGATCTTCCTAAATCTAAATTATCTCATGAATCTGATATTTATTTCATACAAATGTTATGAATATTAGCTACTAAATTTTTCTTATTTTATTCTGATGGGCAGTTCCAAGGGAATCCGACATATGACGGACTCCTGTATGTGTCAAGACTCGGGACTGTGTCTGTCCAGAGACGGATTCTTTCAGGCTCGTAGTTCTGGCCAGCACGGGGACCATATACTAACTGGAGGTACTCTTTGTTTGCACACGTTACCTGTGGCCAGTGAGCCAGACCTTCACCATTGGGATTCCTGAAATGAATTAATTATAGTTATTTTATTGTTGTTGCATCAAAAGGTGTGCCAACTTGGTTTGTCTCATTATGGTTTCCATGATAGGAGGAAGTTGACAGCAGAAGACGCTAACGAACTCACCTGGTCATTCATTTGATTTGACAGTTTGAATAGCTACAACGCGAACTAGGAATGTATCTGTTTGGAATTTAAAGTACATCCTTACCCATTTTTGGCAAAATTTGTGTAATATTTCATCATATCCTCACTGAGGTAAGTCCCCTCTGGCCCATATCCTCTGAGGGGGTCAGAAAATGGGAATCCCATGAGAAAAGGCCGTTGGTCACTATGCGTCGCGGATACCCAATCAGGGTACATAGAGTAAGCAGGTCGATGGTTGAAGAAGAATAGATAAGTGCTGTTGTATACTAAAAATGCAATATAAAAAGTAGTGAAAGAAACTTATTTAAATTATTAGTGTAATATCTTTATAATGTCTTCATTAAGGGATGTTCGCCTCTTGAGGTAGGCCTATATTCATTGTCCTCATTACCCGAATGTTTCCTGGCTACATCATTGGTAGGACCAATATATCGGAGGTCACCGATAAAGTTAGAATACGCTCTCTCATAGTCATCAGTTGAAGCGAAGTTATCATAGTCAACATACACAGTCATGGCAGCATCAACAATTGCCTCTGAGTTCTCTGGAAATATATTGCCAATTTTGTAATTTCATATTAAATAAACTCCTAAATAGAGTATGGTTCCAATATGTCTTTTCACAAATTGTATTTATTTATCTATCATAAGCCTACAGTACCTGGGTAAAAGCGTTCTGTATATGCAGTTATCAGTTCTCTGATGTTATTCTCATCGGGTAAGTTGGAATCGAAGAAGTAGGCACCCTCGTCCCTATTGAAGCCCAAGAGGTACTCTACGTGGTTAAAGTTACCCGTATTGTACTGAAAATATAAGCACAAATGCCAAGAGGGAAGGGTGACTAAAAACTTTAAGGAAACACAACAAGAAAAGCAAACTATAAGTGTAAATCTGTCATGAGAAAAGTAGACCCTATATTCCCCAAAACCATGATATAACGTGAAAAGAAACAATGTCTAACATACCCCTCCCCCCTCCAATCGAGAACCAATATCACAATCCAGGACCAGAACACCAAGGGACATTTCATTCATACTAAAGTTATTACAATACATGTTGAAGAAAAAATTGAAAAATTGATAACCAATACTCTCAACTTAAAAAATAGTTGTTGATACTAGTACTCATAAAAGATAGAGTATTCAGTCTCAAATGATGTGGGATAGATAAAATCCAGTCTCGAAGTCCATAGGCAATTCAGAAGGGTCAACATCCGTTCGCAAAGCCGTCATCATAATCCATAAAACATAACAATTCACAATGGTCACCAGGAGAAAACTATGTCTGGTACGATCCCTATTTCTCAACCATTAATGCAATAGCCGGGATCCAAGTGAAAAATTGTGAGTTCATTGCCAATTTGTTATACCATACCTACATCCTTCAGCATCTCAAGTGGTAAAATTTGAAATTTCAAAATTAATGACCTGTATTTTTCAGCAAAGCTTTTTTACAAGTATAACCTTGTCCTAACAGCTTGGTCACTAAAATATGGTGTCTCGATTTGAAATCTAGATATTTTAAACACGCCGTTATATCTAATAAGCTGGGATACATAAACCCCATATGCTGGATTTAGTGGAATATTGCTATCCAAATGTGGAAAATAAACAATGTCAAACTTAAAGTCATCTCTTTTGTCATATAATTTACAATATGTAACGTATTTAGTGATTTAAGAAAACATTGAGTAAAAAA